CGAGTTTGTCACGACCAGAAGGGAGCAGAGTGTTTTGGTGTATGTTCATGCACTTGCTCGCTTTCATGGTGAAGATCGCTTTCACAATTTCTGAATGCGCTTTCTTTTGCCTGCGGGCTTGGCCTTTGTGCTTCTAAAGCACAGAAAGTGCAAATGTCGCTTTTCTGCAGGAAAGTGTTAGTGTGGGTTTGCAGAACCCCTGTTTGACTGATTGAGGTGAAGGTATTGGCTTTTCGAGTCAGACCATATTCTAAGAGCTAAAGGCCAAAGGAGACCTCATTGTGTTTTCAAGTTAAAGAAATATTAAGACATCTGTATGCGTTTTATATTTTTCAGCTTCATACTGCTGTTAGAGAAGTCAAATTTTAAAAGAGTACGTTGGTTTGATCTTCTGATACAACCATGTTTACAACATTATAATCACAAACCAATTCTGCAAATGTTCCAAGTGACAGCAGTTTTCTCATTCTTTATTTGCACTGAAAGCCATGCTGCAAGTGTAGCTTGTTCATCTCTCTTCAGTTCTGGGTACAAAAGTTAAGCTTTAAAGAAAAAAAACCCAACTATTTAATGACATCCACTTTATACACTGGTCACCTACACCACTCTTTGCCCCCTGCACTGTGGTTTGTGATCCATCTTCTTTCTGTTTGCCTCCTGTGTTTCTCTTTCACTTGCTATCCCAGACAGCTCTCCGTTCTTCAGGCCAGCATCTCCAGCCCACCCAGGTGTGGAAGTGATGCTGCTCCATGCAGGCAGTGCTGTGCTGGTTGGCTCTGACCTCCTTACCACACCCATGTTGGTGTTGGAAGGGCTCTGAGGGTTGTGGGGGGCAGCAAGCTTGGCTTGGGGCCACAGCAAAGAGGGCCAGACATAGTGTGGGCTGCCCAAAAATCCCCTTCTTCTTGTTAAATCTGGTACTGGGTCCCTGTTTGGGTCTGCCAGGACAAGAAAGGCATGGACCAGTGCTGAGGAACCCCCAGGGGAACAGAGCTTGCTCAGCCTGGGAAGGGCCCTGAGTGGCTGCCTGCACCCATTTGTGGGGAGGTTGCTGAAACCAGGCAGCCTGGCTCGTCACAGGGGTACATGATGGGAGGGCACAAGGCAACGTGCAGAAGTGGGAACAAGAGGCTCAGAGTTGGATATCAGGAAAAACTTTTCTCCCTGGGGCAGTGTGCCAGGGCAGGCTGTGCAGGCTCCACCCTGGGAGGTGTTAAGCCACAGCTGGACACAGCCCTGAGTAGCCTGGTCTGGCCTGGGGCTGACCCTGTCCTGAGCAGGAGATCACGCTAGACACCTCCTAAGGTCCTGTCCGACCTGAATTACCCTGTGTTCTGTGATTTATGTCTTCATTTAACTCAGGTCTGCCCCTTTACTTTCTCTCGTATAAAAGTTGCTGTTTTCCTCTCACCTTTCGCATTTTCCATTAACCTTATTTAACTAGCAGACTGTATTACTCTGTGGAAGTTTTATGTGAAACCCACTGGCAGCTGGAAGCTGTGTTAGCGTGAAAGAACAGTGCAAGAAAGCAACTAGGAGCCACATGGTACAGCAGGATTTTCCTCAAGAAGGAAGTAAGCAGGGACCATAGGGCAGCAGGGCCTTTGGGAACAACCCCTAGGGGAAGTGAGTGCAGGTCCCTGACCACCTATGTCCCTGCTGAGTCAGGAGAGCTCCTGCAGTGTACCTGAGATAGTCCAGACCAGTGGTCACTGTGAGGAAAGGCTTGAGACTGGGGGAAATGAGGGAAGCAAAGCTTCCGAAACTCTGGATGAATTGAGATGTGGGCTGAATCTATTGGCTTCAATGTACCAACTTCTTCTCATATGTGTATGATGTAAAGAATTAATAAAATGTTATTAATTTATGTATTTATTTTCCTCTGGCAGAAAGCAGAGTGCAGGAAACTCATAAGCCAAGTATTTACTTAATCATGTTGTCTCAAAGGATAAAACTGAAAAATTAATTTAGGATTGTTGATTATTTTATCCCTATTTGAAACTGTATTCATCTTTTCTTTTGCCTGTGTATAGTAATGATATTTGCCGGACATTTTAAGTTTATAGATGAAATCCTGAAACTGTTGAAGGAACAAGAATTTTGCTGTTGGCTTCTATGGAGTCTTTCTACGCTATAACAGTAGGAGGGACCTGGTTTGACTTTGATCAGTGCTCTGTTACAGAAATAGGCTAATAAGTATTCATGTTGGAAGTTTAAATCCTTAGCAGAATGGTTTCATCAGAACAGTAATAAGTGGTCTTGTGTCTTTGTTGTAGAGGATTTCACCCCAGTTCCATGTAAAGCTCCACCACCTCCGAAAACAGAAAGAACTTTTCCTCCTTATACTGGATTTGGTTCCGAAGAGGATTCTCTGTGCTCCTGTATGGGTCTGCTTCTCAAGCCTCCCCAAAAAGATTTCAAGAAATTCATGGAGAAGGACAGGTATTTCAGTGAAAAATAATTCCAACTTTTAAAATTATGTCTTTGTGAAGCAGATAAATGTTAAGTAGGGATGTAATTTTTTTTCCAGCAAAATATGCAGCTCATCAGACTTTTAAGGAAGAAGTGAATGAGGACAGGTTTAGGGACATGGTCCTCCAGTTTTCTCTAAACTTAGCAAAATTTCTTTTATGACAAGGCAAATATTCAGATCCTCCCATCCTCCTTCCCCTCTGCTGTCTTCAGTGGGAGTTCGATGGAAGTTTTAGTCCAGGAATTAGTCAGGAATTTTGTGTGCTTCAGCAGTCCCACACTGATTTCTTTTTCTGTTTGACTTTCTGGCGTTTGGGTTTTTTTGTCTGCTGGATTTAATGCATTTTACTGTAACAATATTAAAACATTAACCCTTTACTTTCCATTATGAAATGGTTTGTCAGGCAGTGGTTGTTGAAGCTTAAGTGGAAAACAAAGTCCCATGCAAGAGATTCACCTGTAGAACCTCTGTAAAAGAAGGCGGCTGTTAGGAAGAGGCTTGGGAATGTGTTGAAATTGCATATAAATGTACTGTAAATTAGTTAAAACACAGTCACCTAACAAAGGTCCAACTACTAACATTGTATGGTGGGCCTGATTCTGTGGTGATAATCCTACTATGTATTGCTATTTAGAATTTGATTTGAAAATATACATACCTAAATATGTTCTTCCTTTACAAATTTTCTGGAAAGAAACTTGGAGCTTGATTTGCAACTGAATTTGAATACAAATTCATTCTAGACCTGTGGCAGAGAAGTAATTTTTCCCTGCAGATTACTCCTTTCTACCTGTCTGACTCTAGCTGGTTCTGTTAATTTAAGCTGAAAATAGTTTTTGATGAAGTAGGGAATCTTATGCCATTTCCCTTCTTGGTCTTGGAAAAACACAGTTAACATATGTTACCAAACTCAGGAGGATGCGTCTCGTGGTGATGAGAACTCTCCTCACTCTGTTTTTGGTTTCTTCCCCCTTCTCAGGAGCGGGCTGGAGAGCAACACGCTGCGCTTTCTTGCCAAGCTTGTCACGGGCAGTCCCGCGGACGGGGACCGGAAGTTCGTTATCTCCTACTTCCTGAGCGATGACACCATTGCGGTTTTTGAACACAGGCAGCGAAACACAGGTAAGATGTGGTAATGTCCTGCAATCAGTCCTGCTCATTTGATTAGAGTTCCCAGTTACGTTGTGGCCCTTGTGGCACTAGCAGAAGCAGGGATGTGGATTTTTAAATGCAATGGGAAGTATTCCAGCAGGTCTGCTGCAGTGTCTTGCCTAGCTCTGTGTCATAGTAATTTATGATCTTCATCTCACAGCATAACACTCTTCGTTGTGTGACAGTACTTCACAATATCCTTTGGAAACTGGAAGTTTAATGCATTAGAACTTTTAATGCATTTTGACTTCCATGTTTGGCCTTTAAACATTTGCTTTTATTGTGATTAACACGCAGGAATTGTATTGTAGTTGACAATAAATAGGGACATTAAATGTAAGACATCAAGAAGCAAAGAGTAAATCCTTTCTTTTGCAGAATTGTGCTATGAAACCTATATAGCATCCATCGTATAGAAGCAGCTCATGAAAACAGAACAGTTGTGATATTTTTTAGCCTACTCTATCATTAATCATGTAGCACTGAGCATATAAAGATTGAAGATTGCCGTGTGCTAGTGTCTGTACGTGTGTGTGTGTATAATACTGAACTGAATCTCAAGAGCCAGGCTACTGGTGTTTAAGTGACAAATGCTTTGTTAACTTCTCAGTTGCTTGATCACATTTATCCTATTGCTGAAGCATGGTCACCCAGTGTTATCATGGTTAAATTCTTTGTGCCACTGTTGTCTCTTGAAGGCTGCCCCCAACTGAGGATACGAAAGTTTTTGTGATTTTCAAGCATCTTTTTATTTCCTTGGAGTGTCTTGCACTCAGATGGGAGGACACAGCACTGGGAAGGGATGTCAGGAAGTCGTTCTGAAACTCAGAAAGATAGGGAAGCTTTGGCTACACATGACCCTGTTGAAGAGATCAGTGTATTTCTGTGAAGCCCCAAACACATCAGCAGCAACAGTTTCAAGCAGTTAACATCCAGAAGTGCTCTGGTACCTCTCAACATGTGCAGCTGAAGGACTGACTCTCAAAAGCTGCTGTCAGCCTCTGATACAACCATAGAGAAATTAAAAATCAGGAAATCGCAATCTATCAAAGGCAAGGGAAAAAGCATAATGGAAGGTTTCCTTAGTTACCATGTTAGGCTCTTGTGGAACCTCGTGACTGGCTCTTTTGATACTGATTGAATTGCCCTGTATCAGCCTCTTGGCACAGAGCACCTTGGTGTGGCATTTCAGGGACACCTGCAATGGTGACAAGCTCACTGTGGTCGGTACTGACCTATCTGGTATTAACCCAGCTCACTGTCTAGAGCAAAGACTGTCCTAAGGAGGACTGTTCACTCCTCTGGCCTTCAGACTTTGGTTCCAGCAGCTGACTTTCTGAGGTCCAGTTATTCAGCTTACAGTTAAGGACCAAGTATTCTTGCAACTCTACTCTTAAGCCTTCACTGAAAGTGATTTCTGGTGTTAGTCCTTTTCAGAACTATAATGAACACAATGTCCATAAAAAATTAAGGCATGCTGAATATCTAGACCCTTGGGTATTCCTAGAGAACTCTTTCTGTGCCAGTGGTGCTAAGCCATTTCAGATGAGTAGGTTTTTGGGCAGTCCTGAGCCTTTTCAATGTGAAGAACTAAGGGCATCTCTGCTTTTATCTGACTATATTATGAATGCATAAATAGGTATCTTATCCCCATTTAAAATAGAAGCAATTATTGGAGAAGTGTTTTGAAAAAGTGTAGAGTACCTGCCTAGGCTTCCTTCAGTGAGTATTCCCATTCGCCCTCTCCCATTGCAACATCAAGATTTAACACTGCTTATGGCAGCAGTGTTCTGTTATTGTTGTGCTAGTTTCCTGCCATCCACTGGCCTGCAGTTTATGCCACTTTTATTGCAGCTAAAGACACATATACTTATGTTTATATTTGTTATGTAATGCTGTGAGGCTCAAGAGGAGATTGGATCTCCACTACTGAATGCCATTTCATATAGTGGTTTGGGTTGGAAAAGACCTTAAAGATAATTTAGTTCCAAGCCCCCTGCCATGGGAACCACCACCTTCCACTAGACCAGGTTGCTCAACACCACATCCAACCTGGTCCTGAACAGATCCAGGTTGTAGTGCTGGGGCATCTACAACCTCCCCAGTGTCTCAGCACCCTCAGAGTGAAAAACTGCTTCCTAATTTCTAATCTAAATCTACTCTCTTCCAGTTTAAAGCTATTACCCCTCATTCTATCACTGCAAGCAATGTTTGATTGGCATTCTTTATGCGCAGAGACATAAAGGATGCTAAGGGTACAGCTGTACTATTAAATTAAAGATGTCCAGAGAGCAGTTTGGATCTTGGACCCAAATCATATGTATTGAGTCTTGAGTCATTACTGCTTCTCCTTTGCACCATTCCAACTAAATAAGGCCTGGGGCCCCTTCTGGAGGATGCTGAATTCCAGGAAACTCTCCTGGAAGGCAGTAAGGTCAAGGCTGCACCAGGTTTGTCTTGCTCCACTCTTACCACTCATCTAACACTATGCCAGGATGTTTGGCACACTCAAAAATTCATGTTGTTCTGCCACACCCAGGGGCTGCAATACCTCCCCTCAGTTTTCTGCTGTAAAACACCACTCTGTTGGGCTCCCATACCTTCAAGCAGTTTGAACACACAAAAATAATAGCTGTGTCTTAGGACCCTAGATTTATCACATAGCACCCAGAGCAGAGCCAGTGCCACACCCTGTGTAGTGCAGATCAGTTCGTCAGGCTCTCGACAGCATGGGTGCCAGGCCAGAGGTTGCTTCCTGGCTTCCTTTTGCTTTGCAATGAGAATATATGCTGGGATTGCAGCTGGGAGCCCATCAAACATAGGGAGTCAGCGAAAATGTGAAACAATAAATAGGCAAGTTTGCACACCACAATAAGAAATGCTTTAAGATGAGTGTGAAAGGCAAGTATCTGTAAACGGGTATTTAGCTTCTCTGAGGTGTTAAAGTGGATGAAGTGGCTGACTTTGGGAGGTGGTAGAAAGGTGAAGTGGAAGGATGTGGCCAAGAACTGGCCATTGGAGAGTTTAGTTAGAGCAACCTTGAAGAGGCAGGATAAGAAGTAGGGATGGGGGGCATGTAGAGCAGCAGTGGGAAAGAGGTCTAGGACTGCAGAAGTTTCTTTGCTCCCACCTTCTTTCCTTTATTTCTTCCCCTCTTTTCTTCTCTCTATCCCTCCCTCACTTTAGTCATATCTGCAGGAGAAGTGAATGGACTTCTTGGAGGCTGAGAATGAGAAGGCTTTGCAGAGGTCAGGTAAGAGTGGCTAGGAGAAACGAGTAAGGCGTGTGAAATGGGAGCGAGAAGAACATTTGTGTGTGAGAAGGAAAAGTGTTAAAGTGATGGGAGAAGAGCAAGTCTGAGCACATCTTAGAGAGGGGATGAGTTAAAATGATAAATGACTCCCCGAAGATTAACTTGACTATCTCGTTTGTGCTCAGGTTCAAAGGGAAATTTATGCCTTTTTATTTGCAGGAATTGATAGAAATTGGCAAGCAAAAATGTTTCAAATCTGTCCTAAGATGGAAGTAATAATTTGTTCTTACATTTCTCAGTCCAGCAACCTAAAGGTTGCAGAGAAGTACTTAATGCTATTAATAACACTGTGAAACTGTATTTGAAATGCACAGGGCTGGACATCTTGAAACACTTGTTGAGATGAAGGTTGAAGCATGAGAACGTTGGCTCCCCATGCAGAAGATCACAACCCTAGTTTTACTCAGTGTAAGACCAAGCCAACAGCTGTACAAACACCTGCAAAGGCTGATCCGATCTTAATGGAAGAGGGTCTTTGATTGTGGTGTTTATTTTGTGCTTTGAGCCTGGCTTTTGTAGATTTCCAACAAAATTTCTCATCGGGTTTCAGTATAAAATCTCTAACCTAATGAGATATTTTTGGTTGTTTTCCTTTATACCCTTTGAAATGTACTAACCTGTAACATTTATAAAACAATTATGGGAGGGAGGTATTAAGGCAAATTTCCAATCTAAGGGCACAATTGCAGGAAAATAGACAAATCTTACAAAGACAGGCTCTGCTTAAATATTACAAACAGTTGCCAGGATTGTATAAAATAAGATTCTGTATTTGTTTTAATAGCTAGGTGAAAAGGAGTGTGTTAAGATTAGAGTTACGTTAGTGATTTGAATTGGCTTTTAGTTCAAGCTAGATCTTGCCATTACTGTAGTGTATTTTTTGTCTTTTGCTTTTACAGTGCTAGTAAAGCAATTAAGAGACCCATCTGATCCATCTGATTTAATAAGTACTTTGGGTTTCACATTCACTTATAATTTTGACTATAAAAGGATTTTACCACACTCTTTATCAGCCTTTTATTGGACCTGTATCACTACCTAATGTGTAAGACAACATTTAACGTTACTAAAGTATGCTTTTTGGCTTTCGGCTTGGGAACTCAAACATAAACAGGAAACAAACCCCAGGCACTCCAGAGCTGTTGTGGGGCATGTATCCTGATGAAAATAAACATGTGACAGAATGTTTTCTAGAAAGCTTGGTACATGCAGTTCAGTCCTGTGGTGCACCAGAAGATATTACTGGAAAGTGAAAGATTCCTTTTAGTATCTTACATACCCTTGAGCACTGTGTGTGTTTCCAGTAGAGCGAATAAAATCATTATGATGTGCAAAGACATAATGTGACATACCCAGCTCACAAAGGAAATAACAGATCACAATTAAATTGGTTTGGCAGAACTGTATGTGCAAGGCAGTGTCATGTCACTTCTACTTTTGTTTTTACATTCAAAACCCTTTAAAATGAGCTAGAATTACACTGCGCCAGAATTCATGATCTTCATAGGACTCTGCTATCCTAAGTTGTGAGTTTTTTTTTCTTTTTTGCTTTAACAGTTCAAGGATAATTGCCTGCATCTTGCATTTTGCATCTTGTTTTTTCTCAAGGGTCAGTCCCAAGGCTGGCAACAGGGTTATGGGAATGATTTGAAGAGACACATTTCTGTCCCATTTTAAAGAAAAGAAAAAAAGGGAAGGTGTTTGGCAGGCATTCAGATGAGACATGTCACAGAATATGCACAATGTAACTGTTGCTGTGGACACTGGTAGAGACCAGTCTTTTAGCAATGAGAGGGTGTGGGAGAATATATTACGTGATAATAAACTCTAAGGATGAGAACGAATATTGAAATACAAACTAACTGGTTTGAAGTCTCTTTTGGATTTTATTTTGTGTTTGTTTGTTCTTGTGTTTGTTTTTTTTTTTCCCCGCCTAAGCACAATTAATTATTTATAATTATTTATAATTCTATTCCCATAGGGATACTTGGGGGGAAGTTCTTGCAAAGAGGTCGCATTAAGAAGCCTGGGCAGGACCTCTTGAAGAGCGAACCATCTGAATACTTCAAGGCTCAGGATCTGTTTGTTGGAGCCAAAGTTTGTTTCCATGGTCACAACTTCCTTTTGGTGGATGCTGATGAGTACACGTTCAACTACATGGAGAAGCATGCAAATGAGGTGAAGCAGGCTCTTGTTGTTTTCTGTTACCTTTAAGAACTGTACCTTATCTGTATATTTTTCAGAATTATTTATGCCTATTTTCTTCACCCAAAGTTCACAGCGCTCTTTGTCTAGGAATGAATTTAGATGTTAGCTAGGGAGCGCACACAAGCCTGGCCTCTCTTTACCATCCATTCACCTTCTACTTTCTCAGCATTCACTTATTGTATTGGGTGTTGTTAGAAGCTGTATTTCTGCCTGTTCCTTCTTGTGACTGTTTACGGACTGTTTACATTCTTGAATTGATCTAACCCTTGTTGAACCTCCATGTCCTGTCTGCTTCCACAGCTTTCTGTGGCAGCAAGTTGAAAAGTTCGCTGCCTCCTATGTAAAAAAAAATATGAGAAAAGAAATATCTCTTATCTCTTTTAAACCAACCTCCCACTAGTTTCAGTGCCAGTTCTAGTATTTTGGGGTTTGGTGAAGAACCTCATTCACCTTATGCACCACCTTCATAATTTTGTGAATCTCAGACATTATACCCCCTAAGCCTAATCCTATCCAGTTTAAGAGTCTCACCCTTTTTATCATGTCCTTGCAAGGCAACTGTGAGATGTGGAGACTGGAACAATCCACGGTACTCAAGATGTGGGTACATCCAGTTTAGACTCTTACTGGTGAGGCTGTTTTAGTCCCTGACTGGAATTTTATGGGTTCATACATATTTATCTGCCAAAACAGTTCCCTTGTAATATTAGAAATTCATATCAGAGTCAGGAATTCAAGCTTACACTTTGTACCGAGTTTCACTGTCTTTTGGAGGGGAGAGAAACAGTAAGTAGAGGGCTGGGGTGCCTGTGCTGGTGTATGTTTTATGCTACCAGTCATTACAAAAAAGGCTAGAGAAGCCCTCATTCACCCAAGCCAGAAATACATCCAACAGGAAGAAATTCATTGTCCTATGGCAGTTGTCACAGAGGTCAAAAAGAAAAGATATAGGGATAGAGAGCCACAGGAGTCACAGGGCATTTTGTGGGATTTTATGTTGATTTGGTAAGAAATGTATTTTTTATTTTTTTTTTTTTTTTTACAATGAAGTTTGCACTGCAATAATTGAATAAATGTACCTTGGTATAGTTGGAAATTCCTGTTATGTGCAGCTCTGATCCAGTCACTCTGAGGTGCAAGAATGCATCAGCTCAGAAGCCAAGACATTTCTGTATCCCAGTCCTTCTTCTGGATTGTTGCTTCATCACAGTGTGATCTCAAACATCAGCCTTTGGATTACACTGTGCTGTAAGGACTTTGGGGTACTGTGTTATGCCTCATAGCTCGTAGTGGAGCAGCAGCATTAATTGTGCCTTCAGCAGTCCTTCTTCACTATGAGTGTGGTGAGACACTGGAACAGGTTGTCCAGGGAAGTTGTGGATGCTTCATCACAGGATGTGTTCAAGGCGAGGTTGGATGTAGCTTTGAGAACCTGGTCTAGTGAAAGGTGTCCCTGCCCAGGGCAGGGAGGTTGGAACTAGGTGGTCATTAAGGTTCCCTCCAACCCAAACCATTATATGGTTTTATGATTTTGTGATTCACCAGAACTGCTCTTTTGCATAGGCTTGTTAGGAGTACCCCTAGGGAAATATCCAGGAGTGTTTATCAAGTCATGACCCTCTGCCCATTTGTTCAGACTTTTTTTGGATGGAGAAGGGAGAAAGTTCTTAGTTTAAGTTTTAATTGTTCCTTGTCTGCTGGCTCACCAAAGTGAGTGAACCTGCAGGATGCCCAAGTAGGCCTAGTGTAGTCTTGGGAACTGCAGGTCTTAAGGCTACTGTGCTCCTGAGGCAGAGGTAGACACAACCTGACCCTGTGCTGCCTTTGGGCCACATGTGCTGTTCTCACCCAAATGAAAACAGCAGAACAGGATGATTTCTTTGTAAATTAATCTGGGGTTAGCATTACCTGCCTTCCCTGGTATAATGAGGAAGGTCTGCAAAATGCTTGTTGGTGTAAAATTCTACAACTGCTAAAGGCTTTAAGCAGTAAAATACTATATGCATTATGGTTTTGTACTGCTGAACTGTTTCTCCTTCTAGTAGAGTCAAAGCCAAAGCTATTCTCCAAAATGCAATGTGCATCACTATATTGTAAGTGTTCTTTGGAACTGCCATTTGCATTGATTATCTTGGATCAAACAAGATCTGAATGATTGCATATTATCAAAATAAAATCTGCAAATTGGGAACAAGAAACAGTAAAAATACTTTAAAATTAATTTTGAAACGTTATTTGCAGAGTTAGGATTTTTGAACAGCTGTTAGAGAAACAGGGTTATTCTCCCAGTGATAGATGCTTAAGTCACATCCTTTGAACAGAGCTCCAGAAATAAGGACACACCTTGTTTGCCTCGGTTCACCATGGGACTGCATACTCAAATCACAAGAACTTCAGCAATTATCAGATTAGAGCAGAGCTGGAAGAAGATGGTTTGGAAGAAGGGGAAAAAAAATAAAGATTACTTTTTTTTCCAGTTGTTTCTAAAATTAGAAATGAAATAATTTTCCTTCTGAATAGACAGAAGTTTCATCTCAGTAGAACTCGTCAGTACCTTTTTCTGAAAACTGATGAAAGAAATCCAGATAGAATGTTTTTCTTCTGAAAAATGCCATTGTGACCACATTTCTCTAGGTATATATTGATTCAGATGAAATTTTGATTGATAGTCATAGGGCAGGTGTGAATTGATTTTGCTGTCATTGAAACGTTTGTCTGACACCATGTGAGAGATTTGGAAAGTTTTAGTTTTCTGTTTCAAAGTTGTATTTATAGTACTGGTTTTGAGTTAAGGGGAGAGAGAAATCTTGTCTTTTTGATTTCTACCTGTACTGAAAATGACTTTGCAGATCTACTTCCCCAAACTGTTAAACACTTCTAAATTCTTTTCCGATTTGAGGAAAAAAGATGCGTTTAGAAAGTGTAAATTTGCTTGCAGAACAGAATAAGTGTGTTGTGCACAGTCTTACTGGTACTATCCAAGTTTGAGGAGGGTTCTTTCAAACAACGCATCACTGTGCCTCTGTGGAAGTGAATTCATCATCTCTGAAAAAAAGTCTCAATTCTTCAAACTTTGTAGTCTTTTGCAGCACAAACTTGGAGGTTGATTTTACTTGCTGTTGTGGTTTGAGGCTTGGAATGGGGGCGTGACCTTCCAGCAACTGGGAGGACCCCGGGTGGGGGTGAACCATTGTATTCCCTCCCCTTCCCACGCACACTCTGATAAGAGGCAGGGAGTGGTTTCTAATTTCACTCCTGCCTTGGAGCTCGGAGAGGGAGGTTGTCCTTTCACTCTGTGGGACCCTGGAACCATTTCTGAGGGTTTTGTATATTTTATTTTTTGTACTTTTCCCCAAATCTTTGTATATATTATTTTCCTTACCTCCCTTTTTCGTTTTCTGTTCCTTGTTAAACAATATACTTCATTTTTTCTTCCAAAGTGTCTCTCTCTCTCGGGGGGGGAGAGGCGAGTACATAGTTCTGTTCCGTGTGGGTCCTGCCCTGAACCCCTTTTTACACGGAACCAGGACATTTGCATTAAATTCAACCATCAAACAAAACTAGCTTGTGACTCCCGGCATGTCAGCAATTCCGTGAGAAGGGGAGAAAGTGGGTAAAGAGTTAGTGCCGTACTGCTCAGGTACTCGATGTCTGTGTAGGTGTTTGGAATATCTAGTTTAGAAAAAAAGATGCAAAAATAACTGCTTTGATAATGTAGAGAAGATAGGTTTTTAAACAGACAGAACACTTTATCCATCTTTGGACATTTCTTCTCCCTAGTATTTTACCAATCTTTGTCCCTTTCTTTTTTAGCAAAAAATGAAGCAAAAAGTCTGCTTATGGCTCAAACAGTAACTGCTTTGGGAGGGGACTAAAAAAGTTGTTCTCTAAAACCTCTTGATTGCTGGTCCATTTGCTCCATACCACTGCCTTGCATGGCATTGCATGCCAGGGTTGTACCTTTTGGCACAAGCAGCAATTGTCTTCTCTGCTCTTTAGTACTGCTCTGGCAGTGTCAGGAGGACTTCAGATACCATTTTCTAGATCCCTTTGAATGGTTACAGAGCTGTAGACAGACTTCAGCATAATTGGGAGTAAGGCCCAGTCTCTGCTGTGATTAGATCTTTAATATCAGTCATACCATATTTCAAATAATCGCTAGTTAAACCGACACTACTTACTGTAAGAAATGGGAGAAAACTATTTTCAGACAGTACATTGTGCTTTATAAGAGCATGACAGGTGTAAGGACATATCAGATATTCATACTTGGACTCAACCTCAATTTAATGACTAGGTATATAGAAGTTTTGTGTTAAAAATGAGTGTAGCAAATAAATCTTTGGTATAGCTGTAACACAACAATCTGAATATAGGGTGGAAGCCTTAGTGCTCCAAGCCTGTTTATCTAAATTCAAATTTATTTTAATGGCCTACGTAGGAAGAAATAAGCATTCTTCTTACATGGCAGGAGAAACTGGATCCTAAGAAATTCCAGTCTGATAATTCTGAGTATGTAAGGCAACAGAGTCTAAGATGAATGGGAATATCTGTTGGAACAGTTTATTGGAGCCAATGGTGAAAAGATTAGTTTTAACTTGGTGAAATCCATTAACTGAGAATGTAAGTGAGGTGCAGCAATATGAAATGAGGATGAAGTTATTAGAACTGTTAAATGTTTCTACTTCTGCTTTACCGATACAATGTTTGAAGCAAAAGTGAGTGTCCTTTTATGCAGCTAGAATAAGCTGTTTGAGAGTGCATGAACTGATGCTTTTTAATTTTTTATATTCTTGGTAGGAAGCAATTTTTCTTTCAGTAGCAAGCTTCCCTCCAAACTTAACACTGTGCCGATGTATGCATCTGAAGTGAGACAATGAAGATACCAGTAATACTTAGCAGTTCAGCGTTACCCTGCATCTTGACAACTGTTGCTGGCACATGCATGGCTGGTTGCATTGTGCTTTTCTCTCTAATCTGTGTCTTGCTCTCCTCTTTAAAGTTCTCCATGGCTGATATCACTGTCATCCTCAAGAAACTGAAAGACATAGCTGAACCTCGCTGCCGAGAGATCAGACAGATGTTTGCAGCCATTGACCCTGAGCATACCGAGGTGATTGAATACAACCCTTTCAGGTAAGACAGTGGATTTTGGTTAATATTTAATGAAGGCACATTCCCCAAAGGTCTATAAAGCATGACTGTTTCTTGATGCTTTCTGCACGTGTTATCTGACAAATGAGGTACATTTGTTTTTCATTTACTTGGAGACTGTGTGTGAAAAAGAAAGTGAATCCATGCTCCCCGCAAAAAAAAAGAGAAATGTGATAGTTCCAAGTAATCTGAAAAACTCAGCTAAATTTGTCTACTTTTTATGGAGCTGGCACAGGGTGTTGTGAAGAAGAGCAAGTCAGCAGTAGTAAATACACAGAAAGATAAACAAAATTCTGTCCTGAGTGTCAAACAAATTAATTAGTAGGTTTGAACTTCAAGAAAAAATGTTTGAGTTGCGTCCTGAAAATGGTGTTATTTGGATTTTGAATCATTGATAAAGAAAAGAGTCTTCATGAAACCAAGTTCTATTGAAATTACAGAATGTGATGGTAATAATCTCTAAAAAAGACAGGAAAGTGGTACTGAGAGCAATAATTAATGCTTGGGTAGTAATTTCAGCATAGATAGGTGGAGCAGAAATCTGGAATCTGCCAATGATCCAGCTGTAGCAATGGGCAAAGCTATGGATACCTGGAAGAGGAAATCATGCTCAAATGACAGCTGACCTCAGTTTATCCCACAGCCAGAATACTTGAGCATATGAACTGTGCTGGGTACTGGTAAAATTAATGGTGTGAAACAGAGGAAGAAATTCTACCTAGAAGCATTTTGTTTTCACAGTGGTAATACACTATGCATTTAGGAACTGTCATAATAACTGAAGCATATAAATAGATGTATGTTGCGTGGGATGTCATCTTTGTAGGAATGTTAACCAAGACAGAAGCTGCTTCTGAAATATCTCAGAAGACATAGATCAGCAGTCAGTTCTTCCAGCAATTCAAAGTGAAAGTAGTGAGAAATGAAAACAAGCTGGTATTCAGAAATTAAAAATAAGTGATTAAAAGGTAGGATTTAAACTAAGAGAGGCTGCAGTTATTGGCAGCTTTTGGTCAAAATATTCTGAAACTCAGATGTTTTACTCCACAGAAGCAAGATTTTGAATTGTTAACACTATTGAGAGAGAAAATGTTATTGGTAGAATAAGAAGGGGAGAAAATGAATAAATGTATATCTGGAGAAACTTTATAGCACTTGGAAACATGTTCTAATTTATATGCACAATAACTGTTTAAAATCAAATTATGGTTTTAATCCAATTTATAATCATCTGCAAAACTGTATCTTCTTCCTTGCACTAAGAGCAGGTCAAAGTTTTGGATCACTTGCATGATGGAATTGGTGGTATGATTGTGTTTTTAAACTGTACAGAAAGATTTTTATTTTATCAAGAAGAGGCTCAGTTGAGTGTAAATTTAATCATAGCCATATTCTGGGCATCTGTGAACAGCCCAGCTGTTTAATTTAGGGTAGTGCTGTTCTGTGGCATGGAGTAAGATATGTCTTGTTATATGGTGTTGAGGCATTTGGTTTCAGCAACAAACGTGCAGTAGCCCTCTTCATGAGCAAGAGAGAAAACTGGGGAACCCAGATTGTAAATGTTTTCTTGGCTTCAGTGCTCACCTGGGCCAGTCTGAGCACCTGCTAATGGTTTACACCCCTCCTGTGGTGGGGCTGCAAGGAGTCTAACAGGAAGCATTCACACTGCCAGAGAAGAATTTGCCTCTAAAGAACATTTAAATTTTGTGCTTTATAGCCATCGTAGATTTTGTTTCTGTTCATTCATGTTATAGCAGCCTTCCAGTACTTAAAGTGGACTTACTGGAAAGAGGCGGGGGGGGGGGGGGAACTCTTTATCGAGGGTTGTAGTGATAGGACAAGGGGTTAACAGTTTTAAACTGGAAGAGGGTAGATTTAGATTCGCTATAAGAAAGAAAACCTTTACTGGGAGGATGGTGAGACACTGGAACAGGTTGCCCAGAGAAGCTGTGGATTCGCCTTCCCTGGAAGTGCTTAAGTCCAGGTTGAATGGGGCTTTGAGCAACTTCATCTAGTGGGAGGTGCCCCTGCCCAGGATGGGGTAGCTGGAACTAGGTGATCTTTAAGGTCTCTTCCAAACCAAACTATTCTGTGATGATTCTGTGATTATATCCAGTAATCTAAAGGCTCTATTTTTATTATCCATGCATCTTATTGTAGAGTGAAGGAATCTTTTTTAATGATGAAGATGAGAGCACTTCTTTGCATCTGTGACAAGTCAAAGATACTTTTCTGTGAACAGAATATGTATTTTTCTTTCAGTTTTGTGTTTTCTTATGTACATCACTGCTTATTTTTAATCTGTCATGGCATTTCATGATTATAACTAACTACAAATGATTATTTTTAGTACAGGCAATTATCTCTGTGACAGCTTCAGGCAGCATGATAATCCTCTTATCTTAAATACAGCTAAAGCTTTACTGTGCTCTGAATTTGGCTCTTCAGATTTCTTTCTTTCTGTCCATATAATTTTATATCAGCTGCATTTAAAAGTATACCTATAAGTACGAAGTAGTGAAGCAGAATTGTAATTGTACAATTTAACTACTTTCAGAATCCAGATCTGTGGGACGTCATTCAGGAAATAAATACATGATGTACACTGAAGCTATCCCTGAAGCTATTGCTAAAACTATTGAAAGCTTTGTTAAAAAGAGAAGAAAAAATAACTAAAATTTAGATGCCTGTACATCACAGGGTCCTATCCAAGGCTACTTTTTCTCATAAACTACTGGCAAGAGCATTCACTGCTAGAGACAAAGAACTCTGTGGATTTAACAAAGATGACTATCTCAGCTTGAGAAACAGCTCTTTTAAGTAGTTAATTATTACTTCTTCTTTCTCTACCAAATTCAGATTGCAATCTGTCTTATTCTTCCAGAACAACAACAACAAAACCCTAAAACAAAAGAGAACTAAGCTGTGGGAACAATTGTTGCAGCTTGTTTCTTTTTTGTCAGGAAGAGTTTAGATGCAATTCTGTTTTGGAGTCTTGGGTCTCACTCATTAGTCCCCAACAATCACTAAAATATTGCTTAATTCCCAAATGAGACAATAATTTTATCTGGGAGGCTGGTGGCTTGATTGTCACTGACTGACTTGAGAGAATAAAAGACCTTTAAAATCCTGACACTGGAAAAATCTGTGCCGTGCATGGAAATCCAGGCTGTGGAAGTACTCAGAGAGGGGATGTTTATCTACGTGCTTTCAGCTTTGCCAGCCCAAGCATTTAGAGTGCCACGCCTATCATGCACTACTGTCCTCTTCTTTGTGTTTGCAGTAGTAGTACTGCAGGCTCCAGAAAAGAGGCTTCAGTTTTGGCTGGATCTCTCAATGCTGCTACAATAGAAAAAATAATATTCAGTAAGTGGGATAATAACACTGACAAGATAGCGATAATATGACTAGATGGATCAAGTTTTGGTCATTGAACTTGCATAATCTCACATAAGGTTTGCTGCTGTCAACAACTTGTCTTCTTATATTTATTTCCTGCTGCTGCAAATAAAGGATCTTTCTGATTTCTTTAATATGAAAAAAAAAACAGCAGTGGAATCAAAGTAGACACTATGTAGTGTTTAGCATTCCTTTTTGAACAGCTGTGTAAGTGCAACCATATTCTGTGAAGATGTATCTTCATTTGAACAGGATCTCACAAGCTTCTTAGAGGAACCTAGTGAAAAATTATGTTTGTTGGTAAAGTTTTGCAATATGGAACTGTAGTAAGTTTCTGTGCTTTTAATTTCAATTCATATATGGATATTAAGGGCCCATTATCAGATAGATTCAAGAATTTAACTGTTCTTTAGACAGCAGTTTGAGACTTGTGTCAGAACTTTGTGCATCACTAGTAACTTCTTCCATTTGTTTTCAAATATCAGTGTAGGATCACAGTGAGGCAGTACCCTCAAGGGTACCACAAGGTGCAGCTCTAATTGCATCAGCAATTACAGTGAAGTCTATTCTTACTGCAGTTTATCCAGAAGTATTATATATAATTAATCTAATTTTGACTGAGGCACATAGGCCTATGTTGGTGCTTGATGTTAAAAAATCCTGTGGAACATGAGTTTGCCAGAGGCAGATGTTTGAGATCATAACACCAGTGTAGTTACACTAAGCCAGGTTTGACAAGAGGCCTTGTAACAGCTGAGGTAACCTACAGTTCAGGCCATTTTTTTCCCCAGGAGAGCAGGAAACCTCCTCGGTTCCTTTGCACACCTCACTACTGGTGTTTTTTTCCCCCTTATGTTGTGTCAATAAGGGCATATGAAGATCTCTGTAATCACTGAAGGCAACAAAACCCCTGCTGCAAAGATGTTGTAGTCCTTAAAATTAGTCCTTCTCCTTGGTACCAGCAACATAAAGCAGAGGGATTGTGTTCTGAACTGTAATTGATAGTCCTGGTTCTTAAGTGCCAAAGCTTGTGTCCACTTGCTGATACAAGTGCCTTCAGGAGCTTACCCAGAAACAACTCCAGCTGTTATCAGCAACAAATTATCGATATTAACAGGAATGACTAGCCATTCAGTGCCAGCACTGGCCCATCAGATGGATCTTAGGAACATGTTTACTTCATTGGACTGGACTGATGCATCTGAGCAGCACAAGCAGTCATGGGAGAGCACATCTCAGGCTCTTCCGTTCATGGGCTCTGATTCTCTGCTGACAGTGGCCAAGCAGAAACTGGTCTTCCTACAGCCTCCTGTCTTGCATTCTTACCAGGAGGGCTTGTGATTACAAGTTGGGTGTAATTTTCTGCCCTCTCTCTGTGACTGGTTTCTGTTTCCCTTGTCCCATCTTTCTCTTGAAAGCTATTCATCAAGGCCACCTTTTACAGTGCTTTGTGAAGTGTGGCTTGACACTTGATTAATATTTTCTTCCCTGTTGAGATCTTCTGCCCCACTTTTACTCTGTCATTGTTAATTCTTTCTATTTTATGCAACTGTTTTTGTGTGTGCGCTTTGTGTTTACACATAATTAATCATGTACTGCAGAATGCAAAATATAATTAGGAACAAAATAGGGCAATACCTTGTTAATTCACTATCTTGTTGGATAAATGCAATGACAAAATTAATCTCTGCTAAGATAAAAAGGCTTCTGTCATGGTTGTTATATATTTTTGTATGTATAGCCAACTACTGAGAAGATGTGGACATTCCGCAAAAGTGTAAGAGTCCAGGTAATTTTCATTATACCTCAAATTTCAAATTTAAGTAGATACATTCTTTAAAGATCTAAATACAGCATTTTATAATGAGTACACTGTAATCCTCCTTCCCCTCCCCCCCGCCTGAAATTTAGTGATTATTAACTGGTTTTAACTCTTT